TGGGTAAAATAAGTGACAAAACAATAAATATAAATCAAATGAGAATGCATGTTATTAACAAAAGGTGTGGAGATATTATTATGATTAACATGTGTATGCAATTGTAATGAAAGGAAAAAATATTAAAACTAGATATAAGACTATGCATGTTTGTGTGTGTAACAAGCGTGTGTGATAGACACATGCGAGAGAGTTAAAAAATCAACAGAGGACCAAGGAAGTGAATATGCAGCATTCTTTATTGATGTTAACTACATCTAAAGACTTTACTTAAATATTCTTCAAAGTGTTTATTGTCAGGAGAAACACAGCCTGTTGGTTGGAAAATGCTAATAATAATTTATAAACGGAAAGGATGCGTGAATCCTCCAACTCAGAAATCATTGTTTTGTCATTTACTCTTTGACTGTCTAGGTGTTTATTTCCGCCTTTGCTCCACAGATGTAAAAGTAGCTTTGAATGGTACTCAGGTTTATATTTAAGATAAATATCAATTGTGATTAGTTAAAAATAAGTAAAAAAAATAAAAATAGTCTCTTTTTTAAAAAATGACAATCAATAACCTTAAAAAATATTTTCTGTCTTTGGTCTATCATTGCTAGGTGGTCTGCCACAAACAGATTTTCTTGTCTCAGAAAGCAAGTTAAAAATAATGGATATTTAGATCCATTCCCAAGACAGCACCTCCCCATTGTACTTAGAAGAGTAAAGACAAGAATATAAACTTACATCTTTGGCAGTCTGCCAAGACAAAACTAATTTTGGATGACCCACTATAAACTGCAACCTTGAGGCTGTGTATAAGAATTAACATGTGCTATATTTTGATTTTTGTAGCATGGAAAATAAGTATTACTGTGAAATTTACAACAGTGTTAAATTACTAGAAATAAAACAAAAAATCTAGAAAGCACTCAGTATATCTCTGCCAATGCCATTGTCACTAAACACTGGTCTGATATAGATTCGAGACAAAAAGCTTGTAATAACAAGGGAAATAATCATGTTTGCTTTTTAAGTATTAAGAGTTACTTTTCTTGATAATTTATTGCTGTTAAAATTTAAATTTATTTAAAACTAGCTTAAAAGCAGCCCTATCGGGCGGCATTTAAGCTAGCTTCTGCAGAGGGCTCTTGACTAGGCCTTCATCACAATATGTAGGGAGAAGTAGATGTGATGGGCAACAATAAACTACAGAAGAATTCAAAATTGATCACTGCATTTAAGTATTGCATTAATATTTAAGCTTACCTTTTAAAAGTTCAATGATAATTCTTCTGCTGCGACTTAATTTAAATACAATTTGATGTATGTAGGTCCTTACTTTCTATACAAACAATTATTATTATTATTTTTATTTCCTGCGTGACTTTTGCTGGATTTCGCAGTTAATTTCAATTATTCCCAAATTTATTTCAAAGTTATAAAAAATGTTATCATACAAAAAGATTTGTCACAAAAATCACATTAAAAAATTACATAAAAATCACATTAATGAAAACTTGGGAATGCAAAATTTCAGGATTGTAGGTTCAGATCTAGCCTGGAATGTTTTTAATTTGCTCATAATCAGCCTGATTCCAAAATAGTATATGTTGGGCTACGGGCTATGACCTCTAATTGAAAAAGTGTGATACAGTGACACACTGACATTTGCATGTGTTATATAGATTTAAATAAACACATAATAAAATAAAAAGTACAATTTTGTTAGCAAAATTGAAAAATTCCAGGATCAACCACAAAATTATTTATAAACTGTTGTTTGGTCCATGGCACACCATCATGCTGATTTCCACTGAAAATCATTAAGAACTTTTGAAGTTATTGTGTGACAAACATAAAAAGACAAGTGAATACATAACCTATGTCCAAATGTGTTGATTGCAGTAAAAAATTTAAACATGAAAATGCATGTTCTTCTTTTAATGCCATCTCCCTTTGGAATATATTTGATCATAGTTCTTCTTAGCTTTATTTACTTTTTAATACCTGTGGAGTGGTTTCTTGTTGCCTTTGTAGCAGACGCTAAACATTTTTGCTAGACACACAAGCATTGATATTCCTGTCAGCAGCAATAACCCCTTTTCAGCTTTTGGACATGCATAAAAAGAAAAAAATGAGGAGCATACCTGTTATGAATCCCAAAAGGCCAGCTCTCTTTTACTTCAAGCTGAGGTCGTGATAGGATGCTAAAATGATCACTCTGTGCAATAGATGCAAATAGTTTAGACTATACACACCACTCACGCATTAACAAAATTCACTGTCCAAGAAAATACTGCAATGACTGTGGTTTGATAAACCTCCTACTGCTGTAGTACAAATTCTAGTGCCAATGGCAGATGTCATGCCACTAGATAAGCTGACAGATATTATAGACAGAATACAAGTCAAAGAATAAGCACACTTGCTAACAAGGATCAACACAAAAGTGATAAAATTTATCAAATGAAAGCCAAAATTAGAGAACAGAAAACAATGTTACAGTCTCTTATACTTCAAAACAGTAGAATCAGGTGTTGATCCTGATTTAGAAACAGCTACTACAGGTAATTGAGCAAAAACAACTTCCAAAATTGAAAATCCCAGAACAGAATGTGCTGGTACCATACCACATTTTGCAAAGACCCCAGTAAATGCACTACTCTATGCAACTTTAACAACCCAAACATCCTGGGAAACTTCCCGTTCCAGCTAGTAGGGTGAGAACTGAGATTGGAACAAATACAAAATGTCTGGTGACTGGTGGAACTAAGAAATGTAGCTCATCTGAACATCTGCCATGAAAATATTGATAGAAGAGTAAAAGGGTAGCATTAATCTGGAGCTGTAGGGTGGAAAATAATGCATCACTCACAAGGCCACAGGATATTTTGCTGGGATGATATCACACAAAATTATCCCAGTTCCAAATAATTAAAATGTTATATACACTGCCAAGTTCAAATTCTAGTCAAGTTCATTACATTCACTTACGTGCTAATACCATTGGGAAAGGTATGAATCTAACTTTTCTCTCCTCCAAGCTATGAGCCCGACTCTTCTCTCCACCAAGCTATGGGCCTGACTCTTCTCTCCACCAAGCTATGGGCCCGACTCTTCTCTCCAAGCTATGAGCCCGACTCTTCTCTCCACCAAGCTATGGGCCCGACTCTTCTCTCCAAGCTGGAGCCGACTCTTCTCTCCACCAAGCTATGGGCCGACTCTTCTCTCCACCAAGCTATGAGCCGACTCTTCTCTCCACCAAGCTATGAGCCCGACTCTTCTCTCCACCAAGCTACAGTCGACTCTTCTCTCAAGCTATGAGCCTGACTCTTCTCTCCACCAAGCTATGAGCCCGACTCTTCTCTCCACCAAGCTATGTGCCCGACTCTTCTCTCCACCAAGCTACGTGCCCGACTCTTCTCTCCACCAAGCTACGTGCCCGACTCTTCTCTCCACCAAGCTACGTGCCCGACTCTTCTCTCCACCAAGCTACGAGCCAGACTCTTCTCTCCACCAAGCTACGGGCCCGACTCTTCTCTCCACCAAGCTATGAGCCCGACTCTTCCCCCACCCAAAAAAAGCTATGAGTTCAACTTCTCCCCCCACCTATGAGCAACTCTTCTCTCCCCAGCTATTGGTAAATAATAGGACAGAGCCTTGGGTGACAACCAGTCTAAGAGAAGGAAAACTCTAAATTCAGAACTGTATGTAGCCTTGGTGAAGTACATACTTTGCAGCCAAGGAAAGGATTGTTCACATTGATTTGATGATCCCAAATGGTCAACTCCTTTTATATACTGCCATATATATTTGGTGTTTTTCTTTGTTTTGGTTTTAATCAATTAACTCCAAACAAGGCAATAATGCCACTAAGATGCAAGGGGTTGGTAACAGTAATGATAATATTAGCTGTTCCTTTACAAGGAAACATTTGGCATTCATTGATCAAGCAGCCTGTACTGTTTTGAGTTGAAATTTATAAAATCTTTCTCTTAAATAACTATAGCGAAGAAAACAGCGACTTACCTCGTCAAACCAAGCGACAGTGCATCACATGTATCCTACGATGGAAAATGTGGCGTAAAAGAAAATTACTTACCAAAAAAAAGGGCACATATTCCGCATAACATGCTGAAGACGGAATATTTAAATTAAAAAACAAGTCCATCACAGGAGTTGCTATAAAAGTATTTTGATATGCAAAAATTGAACGTCCTCTCCCGATGAATGTCGATGAATGGAAAAAATGCTTGGCCGATAAAAGCAGTTGGTGTTCCTGAATCGAGGAGAAGTGGGGTATTTTGGCTACTGTGTTTGTTGGAGAGTGAAGATATTCTGACTGGTTGCATGAATTGTGATTAGTGAGATAGTACCTGAGAGTTGAATTTTCAGCATTTCTTTCTACCTCCGATTTTCGAGTCTGAACTTAGTGATTTATTCTCTGCATTGTGGAAATAATCTGCGACAAATATTTCCTTTGCAATCCCAGATCGCTTGCAATAACTTTTTAGGAAAACAGGTTGCTCAAGTTCAGTAGCTGTTATCACTCTTTCCAGTATTGATGATGATTTCCTTTCTAACTTTTTATTTGTATTGGTGCAGAAAGTTAACATCTTGATTATGTCATTATTTTCTCTTTGAGTTACAAGTGCGATCCATTTTAGTTTTTGCTGTTGTTGTTTGTCCTCAAGTAATGCAATTTCTGGTTTTGATATAATTCTTTGTGAATCTGTAGTGTCAGTCCACAATGTTAAAAAAAGAATAATCTTTGTGAAAACCCTCAGGCTTCATTCACTCAAGACCTTTTTTTACTGGGAGTGAAAGAGAATGAAAAGACTTTAGAAGGAACCAGAAACCCAACCCTAAACAGGAAAGAAGGGATAAACCTCTACTCTTGTTGAAAAGACCAGAGAGGAGTGTGAACAATAGGCAAATCTATCTACAATATATTTCATATTAGCAATATTTGGTCTTGTAAAATTTAGTTGCCATCCTAAATTCTTATTTTTCAGATGATCAGTGCTGAGGCACCAGTATTATTTGCTAAAGCTGCTGAAATATTTATTAGTGAATTATCATTGAGAGCTTGGATACACACAGAAGATAACAAACGAAGAACTTTACAGGTAAGTCTTATTGTTCATTGTCTTAATACGATTACCATATTTTGGGAGATTTTTTTCTCCAGATGTTAACCTACTTTAAAGCTCACATGTCTTTGAATTTTCAAAATTTTACAGCTCTCTTGACCTTAAGGGTAAATAAATCAAATTAGTTAGTGGTTCTGGCTTAAGGAAGATCTAATGAATGTTAATCTATAAAATTTACAAAAAGATTTTTCCCAGTTTTTTTTTTTTTTTTTTTTTTTTTTATGAATGGACCAATGTATTTAGTGCCAAATGTTTTGTTGGTAATTTTGATAGTATTCTGTTGGGTTTCCAAAAGATTTATATATCTTTCTGTTAGGTATGTGGTAACAAGCCTTGTATAACCTTGTGTGACATTTTAATATATTTAAGAATCACATAAGGAATTGTTTATTTTATCTATTCATAATTTATTTATTTTGTTATATGTAGGACACTCATATTGCAATATTCACTTTCAAAACAACTTACAATAGATTAGTTAGAGCTACACAAGCTAAGCAAAAAATAAGAAAGTTTAATTAGTGGATACAAAAGAAAATTTCCTCTTCTTCATCCTAGATAGATTTAGAGTTAATTCTGATCTTGTGTAATTACAGATAATATAATGAATATGACTGACCTACAGATATTGAAGAAGTTTTTTTTTTGTGCTTTAAAATTAATTTTAAATTCCTTTTACAGCGTAATGACATCTCAATGGCAATCACTAAATTTGACCAGTTTGATTTCCTCATCGACATTGTTCCACGTGATGAACTTAAACCACCAAAACGACAAGTAAGTATTTAATCTGACGCTTTTCATATTAAAAGATAAAAATCGATTGATAAGTCAACAGCTAGGAAAGTTGGTTCACTATGTTTTGTTAGACAATTTTTCTCACCAGAATCTATCTTGTATGTTTCTAAGCCTACCATTTGTCCATGCACCAAATATGGCTGCCACAGCTGGTCTGATACTCCTGTTTTATATCTAGAGATTCTTGTCAAAATCTAAAGAAGAATCTGTAACATTATTGGTCCTGACTTGACATTTCAACTTCAGTCACTTTCCCACCACCACCATGTAGCTTCCTTTTCAACTTCAGTCACTTTCCTACCACCATCATGTAGCTTCCCTTTACCTTTTCTATAAATGTTTTTACAGTAATGTTCTGACAAGCTTTGCTTATTGGTCACTCAACTTCATGAATTTAAGTGCAGTACTAGATTGATAGCTATGTCTTGTAATTCCACTGTTGAAATTACTAGTTGTAACCATAATTTCTATGTTAATAATTTCTTTTCTCACACTTCTCTCTTGTGGAACTCTGTTCCCGATTCATGCTTTCCTGCCAACTATGATTTTCAAAAATTTAAATACAATGTCAATCGTCACTTTCTATCTCCTTGAATTTTGTTCTTTTGTTGTCCTCTCTGTTTCTTTTAGTTTAAGTAACCCCTTGCATCTTAGCTGAAACGTGTAGTTGAATAGCATTCCTACTCTTATTATCTTCACTTTTGCTCAGAACTATCACCCATATATTGAATTACCTGTTTCCCACCTTCTGCAGCTTAAAGTTTCATGCAAGGTAATGAAGAAGAAGAAAAGCTTGCCATTGCATGAAACTTATTACATAAGTTAGAAAACAGGAAATTCACTTCTACATGCTGTATACCTTCAGTATGTTTGTGATCATGGCTCTCCATAATTTCCTGTTCTTTGTAGGTCTTAATAAATTTTGTCTGTTATCTATCCTAAACCCTGTTCTGCCATCCATTTACACAAGCTCATTAGGTAGGTTATGCATTGTTTTTCTCTGCCCCTCTTGCCTTCTATATGTCCTGTGAATATCATTTATTTTCCAAACCTTCTTTCATTATGTGCCCTAGAAATTTCAACTGTCTCTTTCTGATGATAAATATAAGTGATTTTTTTGTTTCCATTTTTTCTAAAACGTTTTTGCTATTCACATGTTCAGCCCATGATATTTTCAGCATCCTTTTTTCAAACCACATTTCTGTTGCTTCAAATCTCTTCTTCATCTGTGAGGAGATTGTCCGGCATTCACTGTAGGAGGACTGATATTACATAACAGTTCAGTACTCTTTTTTTTCTTTGTTTCTAACAAAATTTTCACATTTCTTAATGTTTTGCTTAGCTTTGGAAAACCTCTTTCATTATTCCAATGTGTCTTTGGATATCTGTGTCACACTTTCCATCCTCTGTTAAAACACTTCCCAGATATTTTAATTTATTGTATTTGTTTGATTTTAGTACCTCCAATTTGTAATTTGTATGTTGGACTGTTCGTTTTTGCTAACAACCATTCATTCTATCTTCCAATTGATGTTTAGTCCTTTCTTCTCACTTTCCTTCACTACCTTCTCTAGGAATTCTTGCCATCTCCTTTCTATGTCTGGTATCATCACTGTGTTATCTGCATATCTTATATTGTTAAGGTTGTGTCCACCAATAATGAATCCTGGTAGGATTTCCAATTCTCTCAGTCATCTCACTGTGTAGGTTGAATAAGTACGATGAGAAACATCCTTGTCTTACAGCCCTTTCTACTTTTGTATATTTACTGAATTCATTTTCTATCTGTATGCACTGATGCAGGTACTTTTCTGCCAGTATCAGTTGTATTTTTCAATGTGTCCAGGTCACTACCAAATGTGACATAAGGTTGAGGTTTAAAGTGGGTTTAACAGCAGTGATAGATGTGAGTGAGAAACCAACCCCTAATAATTTTAATTATGAACACTGTCACAATGTACTGACCATATTTGGAAATTAAAAATATGTCTGCTTTCAGTAACTTTTATACCATCTACAACAGCACTTACACACCATTTTTTATAGTAGTTTAACAAAACATTATCTTTGAAAATGGTTAACAGTTTTGCCAAAAGTGCTTGGAACCAACAAAGCTTTGGACAATTTTCACATTCATTAAGTCCTGAAAAGAAGACATAGTTATATATACAAGAAAAACATTATTAAAAAAAAAATAAACACAAGTACCCTGTCAGTTTTGTTGAAGAGGGATTGCTACCCAAATACTCATGTACACACACACAGTATCGGGATTGCTGATGTAGTAACAGAGCTAAATTATGCAGAGTGAAGCTACTTTGTGCAAATTGATCTTGAATGCTGTTGCGCATACACACCCTTGCTTGTTTATAGCAGTGCATGGAAGGAAAATGTGTAGAGCATGGTCGTTTCACCACACTATTGTGATTCCATCAGTGAACATGGCTTGTACAAACCTGAACATTCCCAAGGTCTGACAACCACATTATGACTTTTTCTTCTTCAAATATCAAATTCCACTGGAAAAGAACAAGTTTTCAAGACATTGAGGAAATCGAAGAGAATGCAATGAGGCAGCTACTCGCTATCTCCCAAAAAGGAGTTTCAGGAATGCTTACATCAATGGAAATGATGCTGGATTAAGCATGTTGCTTTAGAAGGGGACTATTTTGAATGCCGAATTGATATGTGTTGTAGTTTTCTTTATATAGCACCATTCCTGATACTTTTTGATCAGCTCTCGTATATTAAAAACACTTGCTGGGGTTACTGATTACAAACTAATTAATCAAATACACCTGAAATTTATGAATTCTATTGAAATTGTAAAAGCAAAGAAAATTATTTACAGACTTTTATCAATTCTTGATCAGTTTTTTTTTACTTCTTCCAATTATCTCTTTTCTTCTGTGTTCTAGGATGAGGCTGTTAGGACAACTTCAGTGCTTCCAGATCAAATACAGTATTACTTTCAGTTGGCCCAACAGAATCAACAGCAACAACAACAGCAGCAGCAGCAACAACAGCAGCAGCAGCAACAGGTACAACAACAGCAGCAGCAACAAGTACAGCAAGCTCAACAACAGCAGGTGCAGCAGCAAGCTCAACAGCAAGTGCAACAACAGCCACAGCAACAGCAGCAACAGACTGTAGCTGTTGCCCAGCCCCAGCCACCAACCACCCCTACCCCACAAGCTCAGACACCCCAACCTCAGCAGGCTGGGACAGCACAAATACAGCTATCAGGTGAGGGCTTTCCTGTGGTACTGAGTCAAGGTAAAGTTTTGATTTCTATCCTTGTTAAAAAAAAAAAAAATTGCATGATAATAATTATATGCCTTTATGAGAAGGTGCTGAAAAGTTCTCACTCTGCTGACTCCCAAGTGGATATTTCCCTGATCAATACAGTCTTAACCTGTTTAAGTCTAAGGTCAACCATTATCTTCCCCGCATATCGCCATAAACAGTACTTCTTACTCGGTATCTCTCTACCTCGAATGGCTCTTGGGCCATTTACAAGGTGAACATCATTGTAAAAAAAAATATAATCAAGAAAATAAAAAATAAAAAATAAAAAAATTCCAATGTTTGGTCATTTGGTCAGATTTTGGGAACTTGGTCAAGAACTTTTCAGCATCTTTCCATAATTAACCATTTCCTTATTGGCCTGTCAGTTTAACTATAAAGATAGAGATCATTAAAATGAAATCATAAAAAAAATTTCAGGCTCATCCTCCAACCTTCTTCAGGTCTCTGCTGTTTTATTCAGCAACTGCCTCAGAATTTTGAACTAAACCCTTTATTCAATCTATTAAGAGGGCCAGGGTTTGAACTAGTGGGTTGAATCCCTGGGTATGGTAGTGCTGAGAAGTCACATATTCTTGTTAAATAGAATAAACAGATAAGCAACTCAAAGATGAATAAGACTGAGACTGGTATAAAATATTCCCTAAGCAGGGAAAGTGGAATGAGACCAGCATGTTCATATTGGTTGTTATACTGGCAGTTGTCAGTTCAATTCCTGACTCTGGTTGTGTTGAAAAGTCACATGATCATAATCTGCACCTATTGATTGAATAAAGTGTTTCCTTCAAAATTCCAAGAAGTTTACCAAGTATGAAAACCAACATCTGAAGAAGACCAAATGGTACAAATAACTAAAATGCTGTGAATGTAACAACCAAGATGAACATGTTGGTCCAAGTAGAAATATATAATAATGATTTACTTTTTTAAAAATTAAGTTTTTTACAATTGTTGCTTTTATTTCATTAGACTGTTGTAAAACTAAGCATTTGTTACTTACATTATTTACATTATTCAGACTGCTATCCTCATCTTCATTGCCATATTCACAATGTTTCAGCCGTTATACACTCCAGTCTTATTCAGGTGATTGGAATTTCAAACCAAACCCTTTATTTTCTCCACCAGGGTAGATTGTTCTAGTTCCACGTGCCATGCCTCTTCCATCTGTCTCGGTTATTTCTCTTTAACTCAACTCTCAAAACTTTGGTTCACCACTTCTGTAGCCTGGTATTGAACTCACAACTCTTTGGGTCAAGTCACTGGATCTAAGCAACACCTTTATCCAGTGGATAACGTGTTCGGTTCAAAATTCCAATCACCTGAAGATGGCTGGAGCATACAACGGCCGAAACATTGTGAATATGGCAATGAAGATGACGATAACAGTCTAAATAATGTAAATAGCATAAGTAATCATAATACCCCATCTCAGAGATATAGACAGATAAATATTTCTTGTATAAAATAATAGCATTTTTCATCAATAGGCTATATACTTACTGATATGTGTGTGTGGGGAGTGTTTTTGTGATTTGTTTATTAGTAATTATTTTCTTCTTCTTTTATGTGCTATGTCCCTCCAGTACTTAGGTGATCATGGCTCTCCACATCTTCCTGTCCCTTGTAGCTCTTAATAAGTTTTGTCTTTTTGTTATTTCTTCCAAGCCCTGTTCTACCATCCATTTATTCAAGCCCATCAAATGGATTACACACTGTTTTTCTCTATCCTTCTTTCCCTCAATTTGTCCTGTGAGTGTCAGATTTTCCAAAACCTCCTTCCTCATTATGTGTCCCAGAAATATCAACTGCCTTTTCCTGATGTTAAGTATAAGGTTCCTTTTTTTTCTAAAACCTTGTTGTTGCTCACATGTTTGGTCTATGGTATTCTCAGCATCTTTCCTTAGAACCACATTTATGTCACTTCAAATCTCTTATTCTTTGGGGAGATTGTCCAGCATTCAATGCCATATAGGAGAGCAGTTATCATGTAACAGTTCAGTACTCTTTTCTTTGTTTCTAACAAATTTTTCTGTCTCTTAATACTCTGCTTAGCTTTTGGAATGTATCTTTGACCATCCCAATGCATTTTCGGATCTTAGTGTTGTACTTTCTGTCCTTTATTACAACACGTCCCAGATATTTAAATTTTTTGGTTTGATTTTAGTATCCACGATTTGTAATTTGCATTTTGGGCTTGTCCTTTTGTTGACAACCGTGCAATATCTCTTTTTGTAGTTTATATTTATACTTTTTTTCTCACTTTCTTTTGCTACCTTCCATAGGAGGTTTTGTAGTTTCCTTTCCGTGTCTGCTATCAATGCTGTGTCATCTGCATATCATATGCTGTTAAGATTGTGGCCACCAATAATGAATCCTGTTAGCACTTCTCTCAGAATTGCCTCACTGTATAGGTTGAACAAGTCTGATGAAAAAACACTGTTTTCTTACACCCTTTTCTATTTTTGTATATCTACTGAACTCATTTTCTATCTGTATACAGGTGGTTTGCTGCCAGTATAGGTTTTTGATTATTCTAATAGCCTTCCTGAATATGTCAAGATTTCTGAGCAGCTCTAATAGATCTTTCTGGTGTACTTTATTGAACACCTTTGTGTAATCTATAAAGCATAGGTACACATCCTTCTGCATTTGTATTGCTTTTTCTGATAACCTTCTGAGTATAAATATCATGTTCCTTGTTCTGGTGTCTTTGATGAACCTGCACTGTTCTTGTCCTATCTTGGGTCTGATTCTGCTGCATGCTCTATTCATCAGAATTTGGATGATGAGTTTTGTTATATGGCTCATTAGGCTGATTGTCTGATACCGTTCACATTTGATTGTACCTGGTTTCTTAGGCAGTGCTATGAAAATAGATCTACCCATATCTTCCAGTTTATCACTACTGTTGTAGATTTCATTTATTATTTCTATGATCTTGTTTCTGCTGAAATCATCTAAGGCTGCCAGCATCTTTATTACACTTGCCACTTTATTTCTGTTCAGTTTGGCCAGTGCAGCTTCCACTTCAGTTTTTAATATTACTGGCTGTTACAGTGGAACGCACCTATTCTATAGTTAATAGACTCTCCCACCTATAATAAGTAGGAGTAGTAAGAGTAACAAGTCAGTCGCTGAGTCACTGAGTGAGTTTGTCAGTCAGTTGATGCCGGACGACCGTTAGTCGGATGCTAAAGTATCAGTGACCACAACTAGATTTCTCTGCGTCATACCTATTATATGAAGTTCCTAACGTTTTGTGCGTCGAACCTATTTTAGGACCAACTTAGTACAAATACAAGCCTCCACTGTGAAATCACTCCATAACACTGACCCATCAGTATTTCTGTGTGTTGCTGGTTATTCTCTTTTGTCATGGAAGAGTTCTTCGATATATTCATTCTGCCTCTGAAGTATTTTTTCATTCTCTAATATTATTCTTCTGCCCATGGATTTTATGCAGTCTATTGATGAGTATGTCTTTTGTCCTGTTCTCTTATATTTTTTGCGTATCTGCTTTATCTTTCTATTTTTGCACATATTTTGTTAAGCCATTCCTCCTTAGCCAATCTGCATTTGTTCTTAATTTCTTTGTTTAGTTTTCTATAATCTGTCCCATGTCTTGGCATTGTTTTCTGTCTCCTTTTCATCCTGTTGAGAATCTCATGTCATCCATTCATTTTTTTCTTCATCCATTTTCATTTGGGATGATCTTGTCTGCTGATGTCACTAAAGCTTCTCTTAGTGTGTCTCACTTCAAGTTTCCATTTCCATTTTGTTCCTCATATCTTCTTTTCACACTGTCCTTCAGGTTCAAGTTGTTCAAGAGTCTGTCATAATGCAATTTGTTTGCTGCATTAAGCCACTTAGTTTCCATAGTTTTATTCTAAGTTTACATCTACAGTCGGCACTTGGATAGGTTTTGCAGTGTACAACTGCATTCCTGAATCTCTTGTTGATAGTTATGTAGTCAATTTGGATTTTGTTTCTCCTGCATCTCTCCATGTCCATATTCATCTTGGGTGTTCTTGGAACCAGGTTTTGGCTATTACCTGATCATTTACTGTGCACCATTGGAGCCATTTTTCTCCACATTTGTTGTGGTTTCCTAGTCTGAATTTACCATTTATTTCACCATTCTTCTCATTGACTACTTTGGCATTACAGTCTCCCATGATAATTATGATTTCTTGCGATTTACACTGTGCCTTGGCATTGTCTAGCATATAGAAGAATGATTTTAATTTCTTCTTCTGTACTTTGTGCTGTTGGTGCATACACAACTATGATGGATATGTTGAAAGGCATTCCTTTTTGTTTAATGACAAGAATTCTTTCAGATAACTGACAGTATGCCAGAATAAATTTCTTCCTGTCTTGGTCTTGTATCAATCCTGCTCCTCTTTCAAATATCTCTCTACCTCATATATAATCCTGTGTTTGTTAGTGACAAAATCTCCATTGTTTGGTCACCTCATTTCATATACTCCTAAAATGTTGACATATAACCAACTCATCTTGTGTTTTATATTTTCTAAGTGGCCATGGTGGTTTAACATTCTAACAGTCCATGTCCCAAGAATTATTTTTTGTTTGATGAGGGATCAATTCTGAGGAGTTTGGCCCCCTTTATGCTGTTTATGCTCACAGTTGGCACCTATTACACATGTCACTCCTTACCAAGTAAGGAGTTAATTCCAATAATTCCCTTCATGCTGTTAGCTTTCATATTTTGTTTGATAAATGCCATAATATTTCTTGGTATTGATAGTGGAGTTATTTCCCGTTGCCTTCTCCACAGTGATTTATTGGGACACCACCTCTAATTATTTTTTGTTTGATGTGAACAGTTTGGCCTGCTTTATGCTGTACATTTTGTATATGAAACTTAGCAGATCTAGGCTTCAAGAAAAAATATCTAAATGAGCAAGTGTGCTTTTTAAAAAATTAAAATAGAGCCTTCTTGGACTTTGACACTCTCTGTAGCCAAGCAGTAAAGCACACTGGATCAAATGATATATATATATATATATATACTTTTATTTATAGATGTTTCATTGACAAGCCAAGCTTTTCTAATTTTGTTACAGTTTTTTTCTTTTTGGAAGGACTAAAGGAGTTTCTGCATTTTCTTGATCTTAAAAGAACAGTAAGAACATCAGAAAAACTTGCCTTGACTGTCAGATTCAATGAAACATATAAGATCATTGCAAAACTTTGTGTTTGATTTTCATTGTCAATATAAACTGACTGCAACTTGACACTGGCATTTATCTTGGCACTAATTTTTGATGTGTTATAGATTGAAACCTATTTATCATTCAGTTATGAGTCAGACTTTCTTGAATGATGTTGTTTTGTCCACAAATAAAAGCATTAAAGATGGAGGATGAAAAGTTACACTTTTGCCATATTATGTCAGAATGCCAGAAGGTTTATTTGGATTGTACTCCAGTTTTTCAGACAATCAAAAAATTGTCTAGCAGATTTTCTCAGGGTGATTTTAACCTAAATGATCAACCATGTTCCAGGTCACATTCTGATTTGATGAAGATGCTCTTCTTGCCATCATTGAAAATAAACCAAAGATTTTGATGGAAGAGATTGCTAAGAGTTTGAAAGTCAGTATCTCAACTGCCTTTTGCCATTTGAAGAGACCAGGGTTCAAGAAAAAATGTCTGATTTTGGCAAATCAAAAAGGTGTTATTTTCCACCAAAACAACGCAAACTGCATGTTGCAAAACAGACATTGCAGAACCTTAAAGATTTGAAATGGAAAACCATCTAGCACCAGCTGTATTCTCCTGACTTGGCTTCTTTGGATTTTTATTTGTTCCAGTCACACAATTTAAATAACAAAAGATTTGACTCTGTAATATCGGTTAAAAACTACCTCACAACCTTCATTCTTTATATAGATAATATTAGTGGTCAATATATATACACATAAATTTCCAAGAGGATAGAATCCAGGCAGAACTCAATGTCCAGGACAGATTGAGAATATAATATAAAAGGCTGAAACACTAATATTCCATGGTTATAATTTATTACATTGGAATTGTAATCACGATCCAATTCATCAGACCATGCAAATTCAAAAAGCTTTTTGAAATTGTAGGCCTGGAATTTGATCATGATTATGATTCGAATGTAATAAATTATAACCATGGAAGTTTTATATATATATATATATATATATATATATATATATATTTTGAGCCTTATATATATATATATATATATATATATATATATATATATATATATATATTAATCTGTATGTATTTCTTGAAGGATATAGATCCAGGGAGAGCTCTATTTCAAAAGACTGAGCAAATTATTATTAATTAAAGAATATCAAACACTTAAAATCCCATAGGCTATAATTTTTATTTCATGAGAGCCCCCCAAAAAACAGTTCTCAATCTTCAAGACCTACAAACAAATCACAAAAAGAAATGGAAAAAAAAATATTCCGGGTTAAAATCAAGAGATATTGCTATCTTATTTAGAGAGTAGGAAAAGACAGAGTGTTGACCTATTTTGATATCCTGACCTCAGTATGTTATTTGAGGATGGTGGAAGGGCTTAAATATATATGACTGAGAGAGAGAAAAATCTCTGTTCTGATATTTGGTCATTAAATACTGATTTTGGGAAGTGGATGGAATGAGGACTTTTCAACAGCTCTTTGTGTGCATGTATAATATTTGAAAATATATTTATATTTAATTCAAACGTTCTAAAAATAATGGTATTTCAAATATTTGTCTCACCTCCTTTATTGGTTTATATTCTTTCAGGCGGACATATAATTCAGTCACCGTTTCAAATCCAAGTTGCACAAACCGGAAGTAATGCTGTCAGCTTAGGAAATGTAAGTATTTTATATATCATTTGAATATCATTATTTCATAAGTTGATATGCTAGCTGCTTGGTAGGGATAAGAAAATCTATCCAGGGAGTTATAGATGTTGTCCATAAAATTATTAGCTGCTTGCAGACCTCTATTATTATTGGCAGACTTATAACATTGCTGAAGAACTGTTGCAAATCTGAGTAAAAATTGAGACCACCCAAATGACAACAGTAACAAGGACAAAGTTGCAGTCTTTTATTAGAGATCAAGTTGCTGTCACTAATGAAAGCCATCAGGATATTTCTAATTCTCTCTGATGCCTTTTTAGAGGACATTTTTAATTCTTGCTGCTGCCCTCCTTGGAGGACGTTTCTACTTCTTGCTGCTGCCCTCATTGGGGAGACATTTCTAATTCTCTCTGTTGCCCTCATTGGGGAGACATTTCTAATTCTCTCTGTTGCCCTCATTGGGGAGACATTTCTAATTCTCTCTGTTGCCCTCATTGGGGAGACATTTCTAATTCTCTCTGTTGCTCTCATTGGGGAGACATTTCTAATTCTCTCTGTTGTCTTCATTAGGGAGACATTTCTAATTCTTCCTGCTGCCCTCATTGGAGAATGTTTCTAATTCTTGTTGTCGCAGCAGAGGAGAAACAGCATGCACCCCGGGTAACACTTGTTTGATTTGTTATCCTCAGGGTGTTGGTTTAGATCTATTAGTTCAAGGACAAAGTGCTTGAAGGACAGCTTTTATCCTTGGGCCCTGCATAAAATGAATGCTGCCTCATGTTGATAATTTTAAACGAATTTTAAATGTCATTACTTTCCTTCATTCAATGCTTTGTGTGTGATTGTTTTATTTGTGTTGTGTGCATGTGTGTGTATTTGTGTTTTTTTTTTTCGTTGGTACACCTAGTGACTGCTGTCTAATTTCATTGTGTATTGCACAGTGACAAAAAGAAGAAATATATAAATAAAATATGCATGTAAAATATTTGAAATTTTGTATCAGAATCGAAAGCCACAATTTTTATAATTTTGTTTACTTTTTATGCAAAGTAATTGCTTTGTACAACATGTGGCTTGTAGATATTTTTTTGTGATAGAAACCCCCATTTTTATGCCATTTTAAACACCTCCCAAACATAGAATTGGCTGTACTCAGGGTAGTTTCATACAACACCTGAAATTGCTATAAAAACAAAGCATTAACCTAAAAACATTAGGCACATTCTTAAATAGTGTCATGAGATCAAGACTTAATATATAAAATATCTAAACTGTCAGATGTATACAACCACTTTCTCAGATCAATGATTAAAAATGGCTTCAGGCAGAAACCATATCACTTGAGGATTTTCAACAGCAGCAGCAACTAAAATGGAAATCACATGTAAAGTGAAACGGTCATAATTGATGTTTCACACTACTTCAAAGAAAAGGTTTGGAAGGCAACCGTCATCAATAGAAATGTTCTTAATTAGCATTGTCAAATCGAAACTTTCATATATCCGCTGAGTTTGCTTTAATTTATAGTTAGACTTCATAATATACGAAACCTAACACATTCCATCGACTTTGAGCAGATGAAGCATGTCGATCTTGGTGAAGAAACATCCTTCTTTGAACATTGTAAACTGGCGTTTCAATATCCCAAACAAATAACTGTACCAAGTAACAGAAACTACATCACTCGAGGACTACCAACAGCAGCAAAGACTAAAATGGATAGCATATGTAACTCAAAGAGAAAATAATGACCTGTCAAGATGCTAACATTCCACAGTCCTTCAAACAAAACGTTAGGAAGGGAACCGTCATCAATAGAAATGTTCTTAATTAGTCTCGCCAGATCGAGACTTTCATATGGATGTAGCGCATGGTGTCAAACTAGTTCAGAAATATCTAAAATGTCAGCTGTATACAACCGCTTTCTCAGATCAATGATTAAAAATGACTTCAAGCAGATAAAGCCTCTAGGTCTTAGCAAGGACAATCCTTTCTTGAACCTGGTGAACTGACACTACAGAATCACAAAATACTGTACCAAATAGCAGAAACCATATCACTTGAGGATTTTTAACAGCAGCAGCAACTAAAATGGAAATCACATGTAAAGTGAAAAGGTCGTAATTGATGTTTCACACTACTTCAAAGAAAAGGTTAAGAAGGAAACCCCCCTCAATACTGGAAAAAGCCATAACAGTTACAGGATTTGAGAAACCTATTTTCATAAAAAAGATTTTGTAAATTTCAGCTGAAAGTAACATAGGTCAGTGAATGCCAAATGTTTTATTATAAGGAAATGGCTTATATTACCATTACATTCAAGTTTCTGGTTTACATTAGTTTTTAAACTCAGCTTAACTCTTCTCTTATTACTGGTTCCCATATTGTATTTATTTCTATGCTTGGTTGGCTCAGGAGATTTTTGTGGCCTAGCATATGTGCTGATTCCTTAAGTTTACAAATTTTCCAATGGTGTTCCTTGTCTATGATCTCAACATGATCCCACAGAGGGCGGTGATCTCCTTTCTCTCTCCATATGTGGTCAGCCACACCTGATTTTTCTACTTCCCCTCGTGTTACAGCTTTCTGGTGTTCTTGAAGCCTTACCTTGAGGGGGTGGCCTGTCTCTCCTTTATATTCCTTTCCGCAGCTGCACAGGATAGCGTACACACAGTCTTTAGTCATGTTCTCCTCTATGGGGGTTCTTACTCAGGAGAGATATCTGCGAAGTGTCGTCAAGCTTTTGAAGGTTGTCCTGATGTTATATAGGACAGTCTACCCCAGTGAGCGAAATAAAGGGTTCAGTTCAAAATTCCAATATTTTCCTATTTTTTTACAAGTGGATCAGTCGATTTAAGTAGTGTCTAGATTTAGACCACTACTTCAAACAAAAGGTTAGGAAGGAAACCTCCATCTATACTGGAAAGAGCAATAACAATGGACTTATGAAACCTATTTTCCTGAAAAATTGTTTTGAGTGAAATATTTTATAGATTTCAACTGACATCAATTTTAACTGTTCAGTCAATGAATACCAAATGTTTCTTCATAAGGGAATAGCTAATATTAAAATTTGCACAATTCTTAGTGGATTATCATTACTTCCCAGCCATATCTGCTTTTGTTTGTATAATATTTAACTGTCTATTTCTCTGATCCTACTAGAACAACTCCCATGGTTATGAACTTGTGACTCTAGGAAATTCAAACATAATCCAAATCCCCACATCTCCAGTTCAAACACAGCAAGCTACAGTTGTGAGCCAGCCTCCAGCAGCACCTCCAACACCAACACCACAGACCACTGTCACACCAGCCATCACCCAACAGGCTGTGTCACACCAGGTACAGGCTATCACACAACAAGCACAGTCCCAACAGCAGCCACAACCCCAGCAACAAATTCAGGCTGCTCAGGTGATACAACAGGTTGTCACACCTTCAGGAGAAATCCAACATTTACCTGTAAGTATTCCATTTAAGTGTTAGTTTTAATATTTAATAAATAATACATAAATAGCCTTATTCTGTCAGTAACACTCACTTCAATTCCTGGCCACTGACAAATAATAGAATGTTGTACATTCAAATCAGTTTCACATATTTTATGAATTCCTGTCCTGGGTATGACAATAAACTACATCCAGCAGCAAGGCCTCCGATTAGGAGTTTTTGAGGAGCATGGAACATACTCTTAATTGTTGTTGTTCCCAGGTTCACCCTGATCTTGGATGGTAGCACCTGTTAAGGTCCCAACTATGGGCAAATAGTTAACTTCCAAAGAGAGATCAAAACTGTTGTAATTTTGGCTAATTCTCGTTGCTAAAATGTTGTAACCTAGGGAAGGTTACTGAATAAAATAATCACACGATGGTTGGTAATGAATGATAATACTTAGGACAAGAACAACACATATAAGATTTGCCAGCGACACATAGAAGTAGTCAAATGTTAGTGAGTCAAGTGAATTCCACAATGAATCTCCAACTGCAGACAACATACAGTATTTATGTGAATGGGGACATACCCATTATCATCCGTAGGTATGCTACAACAAAAACACTATGAAAGTATACACATTTTTATAATAAAAATAACAGCAATGCATTTTCATAGCAAAAAAATTAGCAATACATTTTTATAAAAGAAATTAGTAATGCTACAAAGAAAATTAAATTTCAGCATTAAATGACCCATAAAGAGTGGTATGCTACTAAACAAACAAATAAACCATGAATAAATAATTTTATGAATACATGTAAAGCTAAATTTTGTCTGTGTGTCCCTATGTTATGTTGGTAGAACAAAACACCCGATATCATAACATGATGAATTAGCTATCAACCTTTTATATATATATATATATATATATATATATATATTACTAATTGTGTTTATAACATAAGCAGTAACATTTCATTTGCATAACAATTTTTAGATATATTTTAATATTTTATCCGTGTTTACTTTTAATTCAAATTTCAAATTTTAAAAATTACCATATATAAGCAATTTTGGGGTCTTTAAACTTTCTTTTTTGATTTGTGTTTGTATAGGACTGCCTAGTTAAAATTCAGTTGTACGTTATAAAGCCTACAGTCTTCGTAATAAGCATTGTTGTCTGATATTTCATGCTACTACAAATTAGTTGGAGCAAAAATACATTCATCAAATAAGTCGAAATAATCTGTTTAATTAGATTTTCATAAACCTGTACGGAATTATTTAAACAAATTAAAAAATAGTAAGCTTGCTGAATTCATTTTTATTATCATTATTATTAGGAATTTAAATATTAGAAAATTATTTGTAATGTTTCTCTCGTGATCAGTTCTATGTAGCTATGTCCCGAGCAGGAAATTCAAGTGAACTTAGTATAATAAGAAAAAGAATTTTAAAAATAAGATGTCTTGCTGAAAAGGTTGTTCATGTAGAACTTTTTTTGACAACTTAATTTTCTCTGTTCGTACAATAGATATTTGGCTGGTATCATTAAAGTAAGGCAAAAAAGCTCCAAAATATTTTCTTGTAGATATGTTGTGGATTTAAATCAACTCATAAAAAAGAAAAAGGTGAGAAAGGTTTTTAAGTATAAAAATAAAGAAGAAAAATACGTAATTACCAACACTGCGTGGAACTATCCAGTTGAATTAGTGTGAATTATTGTGCATTGATGATTTGGGTTTTGATTTAGGATTTACCGGACATTAAACTAAGCGGTGCTGCTAACAAGGTATTCACTGAAATGGTTAATTATGTTTGGTTGTCTTTTACTTTGTTCTTGTTAAGTATTTATTTGCAGCTGTAATTAAATACTGTTTTATTTAATAACATTGAAGTCTTGAGTTATGCTTAATCAGCCACCATACGTCACAAAAAAATATAAAATATTTTTATTTTTGTCTTTTTACTACTAAATTTTTCTCAGTGTGTATGAGTGTTAAAGTTCTTTGTTTGTAGTTGTTTGTTAAGATGAAAAGAAATGTGATTTCTTTGTGTGAAAAAGAGAGACAAGAGAAAGTGAGGAGGTGTCACGTAGCTTGGTAAAGAAGATGGTTGAATGAGAAAGGGAATCTATTTGAAGCCACCATTGTGAATTGTTGCTCTTCTTACTGGTTTGTCTAGTCTATAAACTTTGCTTAAATACTCTTCAAAGGGATCACAAAGCATGTTTTTTATTGTCAGCAGGAACGTAACCTTTTGGTTGAAAAGTGTTAAATATTTATTTTCAAAGGATTAATTTATTAACCAGAAGGATGTGTGAATCCTTTAACTTAGAAACCATTTTTGTGTCATTTGATGATTGACTGTCTTGGTGTTTATTTCTATCTTTGCTTCACAGATACTTCAGGTATTACAAAGTCTGGGAAGTTGAGACTGATGGGAGATAATTTAAAGTTTACCTTCATTGAACGAAGGGCTTAAAAGCTGTGTTTTAACACAATTAAAAAATGTTTAAATAAAAGTAATTAGTTTTTTGTTTTTTTTCAGTTTACATGTAAAATTTAATAAAAAATGATCCAGTCCTTTTTTTAAGTGCTAGTGTTACAGCCCTACATTTACAGATAAATAAAAGGAAGGAAATTAAAAAGAAAATCTAGTTAAGTCTATAATATTTTATTTCTAATTGCAGATTCAACTGACTGCTGCTCAATTGCAAGCATTCCAGATGCAATTACAAGGTAAACAAGCCAATCAACCACTCATCATTCAGACCACCCAACAACAAAATGATCAGATTATTGGAGCCACACAACAACAACAACAATTTGCCACGACACAGGTAAAATTCTTATCCCACCTATTAACCTTGTTGCTGGCTTTGCCATTTTTTTAATAAATATCTAATGATTCACGGAACATTTGTCCCACAAACAATATTCGGCAGACTCATGTGAGTCTGGGTAAAAATAAAAATTACAAAAACATGGAATTTAAACAAACAACTTATATATGTATTAACAAAAAGAAATAGCACTAATGTTTTCACAGTTGAAAGCAAAAGATAAGATTAAAAATTTCACAATTAAGAATGTGTTTGTTTGTATGTGTGATATAAGTATGTGTGATTCACATGTGCATGTATGTGCATGTTTATGAGAGTTCAGTTGTCAGCAGACCAAGGAAATAAATGTGTCCCAGCGGGGACACTCATGTCTATGTGCTACTACATTTTGGAGCAAGAGGAATGAAAAAAAAAAAGAGGAAGGAAATGCTTGTCTTTTTATAGACTTAAACAGTACCATCTAACAGGTTTTTGGTGAAGCCAAGTGGAGTAAACCACAACCTGAACTTTAAAAAAATATTATAATTCTGCTTTTTTCTTCATTAGTAAATTAATTAGCATGTGTGTGATGCCCTATGATTAGCTAAGATAAATAAGGAACCATTCTGTTCCCTACATTTATTTATCCATCCCTTGTTGAATGCCTACACTGTCTACCCACCCTCTGACTGCTTACATCTGCCTATCCATCTCTCTGATTGCCTACATCTGTCTTTTTGACTGCCTACATCTGCCTATCCATCCCTGTTTGACTGCCTACATTTGCCTATCCGTTGTTGTCTGACTGCTTAAATCCGCTTATCCATCCCTGTCTGACTGCCTACATCTGCCTATCCATCCCTGTCTGACTGCTTACATCCACCTATCCGTCTCTGTTTAACTGCCTTTCTATTCCTTATTCTGACTGCTTGAGAGTACTTTTCCATCCCTTACTCTGAATGTCTGAGTCTACCTTTCCATCCCTTACTCTGACTGCCTGAGTCTACCTTTCCATCCCTTACTCTGACTGCCTGAGTCTACCTTTCCATCCCTTACTCTGACTGCCTGAGTCTACCTTTCCATCCCTTACTCTGACTGCCTGAGTCTACCTTTCCATCCCTTACTCTGACTGCCTGAGTCTACCTTTCCATCCCTTACTCTGACTGCCTGAGTCTACCTTTCCATCCCTTACTCTGACTGCCTGAGTCTACCTTTCCAACCCTTACTCTGACTGCCTGAGTCTACGTTTCCATCCCTTACTCTGACTGCCGGCATCCACCTTTCCATCCTTTACTGCCTATGTCTGCTTTTCTATCCCCCACTGACTGCCTACATCTAACTACCCATCTATTTCTTATTATTCACATCTCTCTATCTACATATCCATCACTGACTTCTCATAAGTACATATTTAAAATAATCTTACATTCCATTTCTTCATGTATTTTATACCATTTTAATGCATTCTGTTTTCATAATATTTTACAGCCTATATATCAAATTCAGCAGGTGCAGGTTGCGCCTAACCAGCAGCACATCTTTATACAACAACCAGCGCATGTAGCCACAGATGCTGAGACACAATCTATACAGGAAACAGCTGAGGCTTCCTAGTATTCAGCAAACCACTAGTTCCTTAGACCCACCCGCAAGACATTATTGAATAAACAAAAACAAGAGGAATGAAAAAGATTTTTTTAAAAAAATAGAAGGTGGGTAGAAAAAAGCAATTGTTGGGGCTGTTTCTATCATAACCAGATGCAACTATGCATTATCTCAGAATTTCCATATTGGAGAAAAACTCTTCTTCTCGCAAATGATCAGCCAATATTGCCCTGACCCAGGAAAAAGAAAATATGTGGTGAATTGCTGATCTCAAAAGCAGAGATTTAAGGGGGGGATGGGAGAAATTGAATAATGTACATTCAGAATTTTTTAATGAAATTTTTATTGATAAAGAAACTTCATTCAAAAAACAGAAAAAATGAAAACAATGCTGCTACATTCAATGAAAATTTAAATATAGAGAAATGATTTTAGAAGCATATATTTTGAAAGTGTTTATACTTATTGAATGGATTTTTCTTTATGTTGGTAAAGTTTCTCCTATCTAATTAACATTTTATCAATTAAATAAACTATTTTAATTATTTTACAAACTACCAAACTTGTATCTTCATTTTTGTTATTCTGATGTTTCGACTTATACATTCTTCAGATGTGTGTTGTGCTAAGATAAAATATTAATAAATATAGCTCTTCTTTTCATTCTCTATCTAGATAGAATAATTTATAGATTTGACTGTCAAGGATTTATATATTGGTATTATTAGCAAAAAAAAATTATGGCTCAAATTCTGTTTCAATATTTATGTAATGTGGATTTAATGACGACTGGAGAACACGCAAGTTGAAATTTAATAATTGAATACAAGGATAAAGATACAAGTCTAAATAATCCATAGAATAATGATGATACATTTCAAAATTTCAGGTATTTTAATGTCTAGCTGCAGCAAGCATCTTTTCTTTTTTTCCAAGTCTTTTTTTAAATGTGTATCATTGTTGGCCTTATGTTCCATTTTATATGGGGGATCTACTTTTAATATTATATTTTATTGGCATAATACAACAATGGTTTATCTTTGCCTAAAGTCAGTCTAGTAATGGAACTAGATGTTTCTAAAATTGGTATACCCAGGGATTTTTCAACTAAAATCTACATGAGAAAAAGGAAATTGTGTCATTTCTTTGATTTCTATAGGGATGCAAAATGAATTTCATGAGGCTAGAGAACTCGTTTTACTTTGAGCTGGTTTAATTCTTCTTGGATACTAGGGCTTCATGTATAGACTATTTTGGTATCGATGAGTATGCTGCTCTGCAATTGAGCTAGACCAGCCTAGAAGAAGAATAACCATTGATAGAGAAATCAAAGAAAAAAAGAGAAAAAAGGGAAGTGTTTTCCAGGAGGCTAATTAAATGAAATAAAACTGCTGTCCCATACTAATTGTTACATTTCCCAACGCATGACCATATATTAAATATAACAGTTATTATGGGACAAAGGTAATAATACTTATTTTTACAATGACATTTACTCTCCTCCGTTTACATTTACTTATTACGTCTACATTTTAAATTATAATGTATAATTGATATGTAAACCTAATAATAAATAAAAGAATTAAATCCATTATATTATTACATATAATTATGCATTATGAATATGAAAAAAAAATGAATATAGTTTGCATATGAATTTACAAATTTAATGAATGACTCCTAACTATGGTGTGGGGATTACGCGTATGGACAACCAAGGATTATTGAACAATCCTCGATGATTTGAATTAAAAGTGGCAAATCCTGACTCTAAACAGGGTTGCCACTTAAGTAATAATTATTTCAATATCTGATGGCAGCAATCGAATGATTTAATGTAGTCGAAATATTACACTTCAATCCAAATTGGGGCAATATTGCACAATTTGGTTGCATGGAGATTTGTGAGGAAAAAGTCATAGCAAAGAAAGTCATAGACAAAAAGTCATAAGGCATGCTTTGTTAGGGTAGGAATAGAATCATAACTTCAGCTTCTGGGTCAGATAAATGTCATAGTCATTTATAACAATGAAATAAGTAATATTTTAATGATCAGTGTATTCAAACATTTTATGCCAAAAAAGAAAAATGATAATTATAAAACTAATGATTAGTAAGTTACTAAATTTTAGTCAGATAAGTCTTTTGTGCTTGTGGAATATCCCAAAATTTTAGCCTGTATTATAAAATAGAACTGAATTTATGCTTGAATCACTTTTCATGCAATCAACTCAAAAAAAAATCAATGTGGAAGTATATAAAGAGAAAAAAATCAAATCTAGTGACTAATACAACAATAATTTATCGAAAGAAATGATATACAAAAATATTCATGACATGCTAAGAAAAGTAATATTATTTACTGATATAATTTCCATTTTCTCTAATAACTTGAAGCAGTTGGCTGTCAACAAAAGTTAATTTAAGAATTAATTCAGGAGTAGTAGCTTTACAAGCAGGTAATATTGCCTCCCAAAGTTCATTTTTGGATACAAATTGCCTGCTGCTCTCAAAAACATAGTTCTTGACAGTTCTTCAAAGCTTCTTAATGAAATTTAGATCTCAGGAACATGGCAGTCACATCAGAAGCTTATTGTTTTTAAACCCTGATTTATCTAAGCTTTAGTTGCACTTGCAACATCAGTTAGACTGTTATTGCACAAGAAAATGTCTTTTAATTTGAATGCCAATGTCTTAAGCTTGAAATTTTAATGGTTTTAAATAACTCTTTACTATACTTAAATTGGTGCTGCCACATTTCAATATTCAACTGGGTTTTCATTCATCAGATGAATGTAAAAGATTTCCATGTCTTTCTTTTGTCAAGTCTCACACTGTATGCAGTTCGGTTTGTAACAAATTTCTTGATCATATGATGGTCTCTTGGAAGGAATTTAACAATTTCTAATGTTTAATGATCATGAAGCATTTTAATGATTTTTGCCTTGTCATCATCATTGCTCAAACATATTTTGCAGCCCTTATTGGAACAGTGACAATTAAGCAATATCACCAAAATGGCTGCTGTTTTTTTTTTTTTTTGCTGTTGCATAAAACCATCTTAATTAAACATGGTTGCACATGTCAATGTTGGTAAACTGTTGAATGAATTAAGTTCAAGTATATGCAGTTAATAAGATATTTAAAAGGAAAATATGATTTGCCTAAAATATTGACACGCACTGGATTAAAATATTACTTTAACTACTATAAGTTAAATAAGATTGTTATTGTCAACATTAATTTATTAAAATATAAATTATTTTATTAAGATGTATTGCTAAAGATAAAAGGAAAACTTAAAAAAGATGTATTTAAGTTAAAATATTACAAACTTTATTAATCTATTTTAAATGAAAATATTACTTTCTCTATAAAATTTTTTTCTGTCCACAAGCTGAAGTTTGACTTTATTTCCAGTCACCATGTAGAACAAAGCAGATAATCGAACTAATTCTTATTTTGCATGGTATTTTTTCTTCTTCTCCTACTGTGATTCAAAGACTTTACCATGATGTCTATCTTACTGCACTTGGGAAGTTGAATGAAGTTCAACCTAAAACCTAAAACTTACTTCCTCTGGACTCTGTCTGAAATAATTTAAGATTGGGCCCAATGGAGACCAGGGCACTACTTAAATTGACTGGTCAGTTCATAAAAAAAAAAAAACCCAAAAAATAGAATTTTTTTTTTTTTTTTTTTTTTTTTTTTTTTCAAGAATTTTTGTAGATTAGTATTCATTAGACAGGCTGAAGTTTATGATAAAAAACATTCATTAGAATTATAGAAGTGGAGTCCTGTTCATAATATAAATACAGTGTCAAGTGGATCCCTGACTGAGTTATCTGTACTTTGTTTTTATTTACAAATGCCAAGTTTGAAACAGCTTCCATCATTGATAACTCTGTACAGTTACAAATTGGTAAAGGGATAATATCATTAGTACTCAGCTATCAACAAGTAAAGTTTCAAACTCTACATTTGTAAATAAAAATAAAGTACAGATAACTCTTTAAGAAGTCAGGGATTGACTTGACATTGTGTTTATATTATAAAGAGGACCTCAATTTTAAAATGACTAAAAAATAAATATATTGCATTTCTGACAGCTGTTATGGCATGAGGAAGGTATCATAAAAGTTAATCAACAAAAATTACACCTCCATCCAAAAAAGAATTTTCCTATTTTTTTTAAAGCAGACCAGTCAATTTAAACCATGCCGGGATATGATAACCATAGTCCCACTCAAAGCGATTTTGCCATTTTTAAGCTCTGCTCAGGTACAAAGGGTTAACAAAAGTTCAAACAGACCCTTATTTCTTGCATTTACACATATTTGTCTATGTTATGTTACCAAAAACAAAATGATCTTGACTTTATTTTTGCTGATTGTATGACAGATAAACTGTTTGGCTATTACTACCATTGAACTATATAAAAATCCATTCAAACATAAGCAGTGATTAATAACCTATTGATATAGCTTACTATATAGTAAATCTTCAATTTTATGAGTTTTCAGTGTTTGGTAGACAAGAGAAATAGGTATGTGTTTTACATTAGTCAGTTCATAATATGTTCAATAAGCTAAACTCTTGAGATCCAATGTGTTCAGACTAAAATTCTAATTAGATATGGTAATTAGGATTGTACATTAAATTTTTTTAAATGTTTTTTATTTGTACATTTTAAAAGTGTACAGTATTAAGTGTTCTAAAGATCATGTGAAAAAAAAGATCAGCATTTTCCAATACATACTATAATTTTTGTAAGTGTAAGATAACAACGAATCATTTAATCTGTTTCCATTATATAGAAAGTTTATATTTGTTATAAAGTTACGCTTGGTCATATGACCAACTTTGTGTAAGGCTTACTAAAGTTATCTTTTCATAATTCTCATTGTTTTCTCCATTTTATTATTATTATTAAAATTCATTTGTCAGCTTTTTAGCACTTATTTTATTACTTTGAAAGAACTATTAATATTTTCAAGAGTTTTAATCAT